ATAAAATCCGGATGAGGACAGGGATGATGTTTGCATTTAGTTTCGTGGTTCTGCTGTTCGGGGCTCGGCTCGTCCTGCGGCTCCTGAACCGGTCCGGAGCGCGTCTCCTCCGCGTCGCGGCGTCCGGGAGAGTCGGTGGTCCGGAGAGGAGAGGAGGAGGACGGAACACCAGGACGTGGAGGTGTTTGGACGCAGTTATGAATCCGCAGAATTCTAGTTTTATGTTTGATTCGGAGCTGATTGAAGGCTTCAGCTGGAACACAATTAAAAACACGTTTGTTTGGTGAAAACCTGAGCTCAGGAGGGACGTTAGTTTTAGATTTGTTATTATTTTTATTATTTATTATTTCTACTTCTTTATTATGGTTACCTGTTATTTTATTGAGCTGTCCCGGCGGGTCACACAGTCTCCGGGTTTTACGCGCTGGTCTTTACGCAGCGCTTCGTCTTTACGTTAATTTAACCGTTTTTCTTCCTTTAAACCGCCACAAGGACACAAACCCACTTTTACTTTCGCTTTGTGAACATTTATCAGGTTTTAAACCAAAGAGCAGAAACACGGAGACGAGCCTGATCCCAGCTACAAGAGCAGAAACAAACGAGTTGGTTTGATTCTGCAAACATGGAAAAAAGAAATAATAAATCTGCTCCAAAACGCGCTTTTATTTTAAATTATTTTCAGTTTTATTTGCGCTTCTTGTGCTGAAAGCTGAGGGTTTGTTCTCCTGCGTTTAGTTGATAATTAACGCACCCGGTGCATTAAACTGAATTCAATCTATAAAAATAAAAATAAACGTAATAAATAAATGAAAATAAAGGGCTCGAACCGAGCAGGCCTTACAGCCCAAAGCACGGAGCTTTATGTTGAGACGCATTTAAAGCAAACTGCTGCTTAATTTACTGCTAAATAAATATTATAGAGTCTGGTGTGAGGACAGGAACAGGACACGCATTTTATTTTATTTTATTTCATTTTGTTTTATTTCATTTTATTTCATTTTATTCTATTTTCCTGGGGGATGGTCGGTCTGTGTGTGGAGCTGCTGCCGGGCCTCGGTTCTGAACAGAAACCAGCTGAAATATGAACTTAATCTGAAGGTAACTGATTAAAGCTGATTCTGGATGTTTGAGGTTATAGTTTAAGAATAAAAACAAATCAGCCTCTAACACATTCATGGGTTCTTTTATTGTTTAGTTCAATAAACATCAGATCAGTGACCAGAGGCTTCGTTCTGTCTCAGGTCAGACTGCTTTTGTTTGGCAGCTTTTTGTTGTTGATCCAGTAGATGAATGAAGTCAGAGGGTCCTTCATCACCTCCTGACTCCGCCCCCTCCTCCTCCTCCTCCTCACACAACACACACACACACACACACACACACACACACACAGTAAGACAGTGAGGAGGAGGAGGAGGCAGAGCCAGGGTTCCTCCTCCTCCTCCTCCTCGTCCTCCAGTCAGAGGAGCCTGAGCAGAAGCCTGGTCCTCCCTGGCTGGACTCCATCTCTGAGCCACAAACACTCGCTCTGTGGACGGGAACCACTTTTCCTTCTCCTCCTTCTCCTCCTTGTCTCCGTGCAGCAGCGTTCTGAGCAAACCCGACTCTTCCTGGTGGTCATGAACTCCTGCTGGACTTGAGGCGTTTCCAGGCTGCAGCAGGACCTCCAGGTGTAAACATAGCCTCCCTCTACTCCGGGCTGCTCCCCTGGACCACCATGGGTTCAGACGTGCGCGACCTCAACTCCCTGCTGCCCCCGGTGCCGGCGGGCCCCAGCCCCGGCTGCCCGGCGCTGCCCGTCAGCTCGGCCCCCCAGTGGGCCCCGGTGCTGGACTTCCACACGGCGGCGGCCGCCTCGCCGTACTCGTCCCTGGCGGCCCCCCACACCTCCCTGGGGCCGCACTCCTTCATCAAGCAGGAGCCCAGCTGGGGGGCGGCCGGGGACCCCCACCACCACGACCCGGACCCCCACTGCGGCCTCAGCGCCTTCACCGTCCACTTCTCGGGTCAGTTCACCGGCACCGGCGCCTGCAGGTACGGGGCGGCGTTCGGGGCGCCGGCGCCGTCCAGCCAGCCGCCGCCGGCCGTGGCCCCCCCCCACCACCACCAGCCCCCCGGCAGGATGTTCAGCAACCCGCCCTACCTGACCAACTGCATGGACACGCAGCAGGCGGCCCGCAACCAGACAGGTAGCAGCACCGAGCACACCAGCTAGTCGGCTGGACACCAAGATTAGGCTGCAGCAGATCAGGGGAGTCTTTCTGAGGAGCAAGTCCAACATTCACTGACCTAGAAGCTGTAAAATTCCTCTTTATGCTGCCAGTTATTAGATACAACTTTTTAATGTTGCATCAACTTAATATTTTGTGTAAATCAAACTCAAATTTCTGAGTTCGTTGCTGAACACAAACATTCAAGTTGGAGTAAATCAATTAAATTGGATTCATGTCTAAATCTTTCTGTCGTTCAGATTTGAAGTCCTGAAAACCTCATGAAGCGTCTCTATGCTGCCAGTTATCAGGTCAAATGTTTTAAACATCATGATGTTCTGCATCGTGTGTAAATCAAACTTCTGCGTTAGTTGGTTGAACACGACAAAACAAGTCGCCTTAAATTAATTTAATTGGACTGATATCTGAAGTTCAGGATTTAAAGTCCTTAAAACTCTCAGAATCCTTCCAGTGCTGCCAGTGACTCATTGAAACACCTTCATCTGACTCAGCATGGCTCGTTGGTTGAACTTAATTTCATCACGAGTCAAACAGACTGATGGAAACTTCTTTAAACTACACCCCAGTTTTTAGAGCGTACGATATAAGAAGTTAATGAAAAATGAATCTGATTGCAGGAAGTGAAGAAGATCATTTCTGCTGCATCAACTCAATATTTTGTGTAAATTAAACTCAAGTTTCTGTTTGTTGGCTGAACACAAAAATGTTCTAAATTAATTAAATCAATCTGGTTTAAGATTTCCAGCCCTGATTTAAACTGTGTTTCTGCTGCCAGTGGTTTTATAATTAATTATTAATTAAGCTCCAGTGAACTCGATAAAGTTTGTTGGTTGAACGTAGCTTCGTTAGAAATCGTCTGAGCTCGTAAACATTGATGCAAACTGCTCGTTTATTAGTGAGCAGGTGAAAACACGAGGAGTCTGAATGTCTCCTTCATGTTTCTGCTGCGAAACACCTTCTGCAGCCTTCAGCCCGTCTGAGCTTCAGAAGAACCGGCCCGACGTGGTTCTTGTCGGCTGCCGTGTTGCCTTCGCTGCCTCGGGTCGCTGCGGTTCCTCTGAGACAAAGCAGGCCCGGTGGGAAGCCCCGTTAGAGCAGAGAGCGTCTGATCCGAGCGTCACCCCAAGAGCCTCGAACACGGCCTGAACTGGTTCTGACCCGATGGGGCTCAGCTTTTATGGACTTCATTTGTTGTTTCTGTGCCTGTTGGCCAAAAAAAGGAAGGATTTTAGTGTGTTGACTGGTTTAACCAGCAGCACAGAGGTTCTTTAACTGATCAGAACCTGATCATGAAGTTCCAGCGTCAGAGGGACGGACGTGTTTTCTGCTCATTTATCGATAAAGTTTATCTTTGAATTCATCACTTGGACCGTCAGAGTCTCCAGGAGCTGTTTGGGAAAAAACAAAAGCTGCTGAAATCATGAAAGACGTGAAGTTTTCTGGTCAGTTCAAACTGAGTTTATGCTAAAACCAGACTCTGACCTGCTGCTTTTATTCCTTTAATTAAAACAAAAGTCGGTTAATAATCTGCAGAATCTCATTAGAACTAATTAATGTGAATGAACGGTTTAATGCTGCAGTTGTTCTGGCAGATGTTTAGACGATGAAATGAAGCTTTGTGTTGACGCCGTGTCTCATTTGCTGGGAAACAGAAAGTCATTTAAACAGCTTCTGGTTTCTGGTTCGGCCCGGTTTCACCTCAGCACGGCTAGACTGGATGATTTTACTGATTTAACACGAGGCTGCATGAAGAGAGTTTCTGTTTGATTCACGTCCGTTTGGTGGAAAAGAAAAAAAGAGCAAAAGCAGCAGATTTCATGAGATTCACGTTAAATTCAAAGTTTGTCTCTGAGTTTAGAGTAAAATCAGAAAAGCAGCAACTGGCTCAGACTGCTGTGATACTTTAAATTAACAACCGACTTTAACTCGGTTTGTGAGTCACGTTGGAACTAAAACTATCCAGACTATGAGCAGGTCAGCGGGACCAGCGATGAGCCAACACACACCAGAACTGGATTTAACGTCGGGACTGTTTAGTTAATTACAAACGAAGCATCACGGTTCCTCAAGTCACGTTTACTTTAATACGTTTCTGTCAAAGTAACCTCGGTGTGGTTTATGTTTTACTCTGTTTAGAGCTGAGCTGAAGGGTTTTCCTGTTTTAATGTGACCTTACAGTGAGTCTCACTTCAGGAATAGTTTTAATGTGGTTTCCAGTCAGAGTGTCTGATTCTGGTGTGAGAGCCTCTGAGCTCTGTCTGTGATGTTGTAACGCACCGAGCAGCTCCACAAACACGCTGAAGCAGATTCAAGAATCCGTTTTGTGAGTGTGTTGGAGGACGTCTGATCCGCTGGTCGTCAGCCAGCAGCTTCATTAGCAGCTTATCAAGCAGATAATTCAGGAACCACGCAGGAATCAAAGCGCCGAGCCGACCTCCGGCCCGCTTTATCTGCCGCCCGCCGAGTTCGGCCGAGTTCAGACAAACAAACGGCAGCAGAG